AAGGGATCCGCGCCTATTGCACCCTTCCGCCCTCATAAGTCCATACACATATTGGCCACTGACATTGTAGGCAGGTAGAATATACACATGCTCGAACATACATACATGTATTGACCATATATGCATGTCAGAACATAAAGTATTTCATGTTTTGGAAAAAATACGCAGGGTACTTAATGACTTTTTTGTTCACATCATTCACAAATAATTATATTCTCATTACTAATTAACAATTTTGATACAAAATTTATGTTATAATATGGTGGATAAGTCCGTTATTAAAAGCGAAAAATTTATTTCAATCAAGTTCAATCAAGTCTGAATTTAAAGATTTCCAGTAGAAATTAATTGTGGCCAGAGGGGTGGCGGATCGGGACGCAGTATTCAAATCTTAGATCTTTTTTTACTAATATTGCTCCTTTGTGGACTGGAGCTCGTTTTAAAAATACGTATGGGACAATAATTGTTTTAAAAATTTAATGCATTTAAAATTTAAGATTTTATGTTAATTTTTAATATGGATTAAATATTGATTATTTATATAGTGCTCATATTGGTTTTGGATGGGAGTTTCACATTGTTTACAAATATTGGGATTATATGGCGTCTATATTGTTTCAATATTGGCTTTATATGGGAAAATGTTTATAGAAAAATGTTAGGGCAATATTGATAAACTATATAGGGCCCACTTAAAGAACTATATTGCGCCACGATTCATTTCTACTTGTTAAGTTTGTTAGTAATGTATGACCTGGAAATACTTTCGGGGGAAAAAAATTATGTTCCAAATAACATAAAACGAAAAACTTACTATTAAAAATATGGTAAGTTAAACTTTTATTGATTAGGTCTGTTATACATACCGCAAAGTTCATACAACTTTTCCTAAGCCAAAATGCTGCTCAAGCTTAATTAATCAAAATATTTATGATTATTATTATATGTTTCAAATAACACCTTAATAGAGACTGTTTGGTGATAATGACATTGTCTTTTGATTGTTATATTATTGTTGTCATTGTATATTTTTACGTTTCAAAGGTTTCCGAACATTTTGGCATACTTTAGAAAAAATAAATGTATGTGTGTGTATGTATGTTTCCACCGATTTGAATGATTCAAAAAACATTCGATTCCTATTGATAGAAAGATGTGCTGATTTGTTTTTGGTAAAGACAGGTCCAGCCGTTTCGAAGATACGGAGCAAAAAGTGCCAAATACCATAATTTAGTTTCTCAGAGAACGAAGTACCTGATTTGAATGATTCAAAAGACATTTTGCTTGTATTGACAAAATGAAGAATTAGTGAAACTTTTGGTAAGGAAAAAGTAAAAAAAATAATACTTCGCGGTCAGAAATGATCATTAGACATATGCACATCCGATATTTGATTAAATTTTTAAAAATTCTGTACCAAGATTGTTAATTTTCAAGGTTTACTTATACGGTTCAAGCAAATTTCAAAATTTTCAGAAATTTTTTTTTCAACATTTTCAAAAATATACAAAGTTTTATATTTCAAATATAAATTTGAAATTTACGATTAAGTTTAAAACTGTATAAATTTCAAATGCGTTATTTTACTCGTAACAAATATATCCTCAGATGAATTCATTCAGCATCTCTTGTTAAAGTAAACATTTTCAAGTGTTTTGAGCGATAAAATAGTCACTGTATATTTTATGAACGATCAAATATATAGTGATTATGATTATTCATTTGGAAAATGTTTAAATTAATTGCTATTGATCATTGACCAATATTTTTTGATTACGTGTTTTTTTTCTAAATATTTAATTCTGGTACGGAAAGTTGCAGCAATTTGCCTTAAGGCACGATGCCATACACCACTAGTTTGTTCATGTGTTATATGCTTTAAGTAACACCATAATAGTCTATTTGATAATTATGAAATTGACTTTAGATTTATTATATTATTATTGGTCTCTTCTTGTTATTGACTACAGATCACTTTTCACGTTTAAAACTTTTGCTTCAATTCAATTGTATCATTTGGCTTTGGCATACAATGGTTTATATTTTTTTTCTCGAAGAAGCCCATTTTCCAGTTTGTTTTTAAAAATCATAATCAGTAGAATTATAGGAAATAGGTAAGAACTCATTTTTTAGTATTTTTTCATTTATTACCTTTCTGGTCTATTTTATGTTCTCTGTTGTTCTCTAGCAACATGTCTCGAAATACTCGATGTAGTTTTCAGAGTTGTTAAATAATTGGTAATAAAATTGTGTGATATCTAAATCAAA